ATCCGAACTTAGCCCTTCCTTACTCTCTGCTTATTTTGTACTTCATGGTTTTCTGTACAATGACCCTCCAGACTTTCGACTGTATTAAAAATGTATTTGCAAAATCCAGAGCTTATTTCTGCCATTTTGTGTTTGTATAATCATATATGTATAGTTTTTGATTTTCAGTGACGGTGATGGCCAATCACTGCCGGTGTGGAGACCTTGTTTTAGTAACTTGGGAAATAGCGAATAACATGCGAAAATTATTTTTTATAGCTTCAGAAATAAATTTGATCCAAACTAGATCCTAATTGACGAAGCCAAGATTTATTAAATCAAAATGAAATAAAAATGTATATAGCAAATATAATTTTTTATTTCTAAAAACTAAAAATGTGTTTAAAATATATGTAATACATTCAGAAGTAAAGTATGTTGCATGCCAATTATGTTTTCAAGTTTTTAATTTGGCCTATGGACTTTTCTTTGAACTGACTTTAGTTAATAATGATTGAAAAGTTTTATGGCATAATGGAAATATAAAAATTTATGGATGTCATGAACATGATGATTATACCTTTTTTTGTTATCAAGAAGCCTATAAAAGTCGCTACCTAGCAACACTGCAATTTGTAGAGAATTATCAGTATCGTAAATAGATGATTAATAATTGAATACTATTAATTAGAACTTTGATGTCAGTACTATTGCCAATAGGGAGGAGTGAAATATAAATATATATATTACGACTCAGCTCCAATTTTGTTGAAACTTTATAATAGTCACTTCAGCTTGTACTTCATAATAGTTATGAATCTAAGTGAGTCCATCACCTACATATATTATACTATAACATAAGTAAATAAGATACCAAATGTGATTGTAATTCATTCACGTTTTCGTAAAATAGCGAATTTTGATGTCATTTGCAACCATCAACAAAATCAATGGAATTTATTTTTTTACTTGACATCATTTTTTAGGTTCCAATCTCAATACAATTTCAATTGAAATTGATTAAAAATTGTTTAGTTGTTTAAAAATTGGGATGTATTTCAATTCAAGGGCTGCAGTACAGATTATAGTTCTTCACGATTTATTATTATAAAATGTATTGTAAATCATAAGCAATTGAACGGGGTTCAATTTTCAGACATACCTAATATCATTATCGACCACAAGAGAATAATAAATTGTTTATAAAAGTTATTAGTAAAAGGACTGAAAATTGAGTTTGTCAACTATTTGATCACATATGTAATACTATTCCAAATACATTATGTTTTGTACTTTCTTTGTTAAAAAACATTTTTCAATAAAAAAGATAAGTGCACTAAGTGGGCCTATAAAATGACAGTTAGTAAGTGCGGAATTACTGGAAATATGCCGTTATTTTTCAGAGAATATTTACAAATGTAGACAAAGCGACGTGATCAATTAGTTGACTTTGTGGAGTAAGAAAGTATTGGTCGCTGTATTTCTTTTTATTCTATATAATTAATAGTGGTGGAATCGTTAGATTAAAATTTTTAGTAAAATGTGATTATTATACTCTTGCAACATGTCGCTCCAGAGTATAATAGTTTTGTTCACCTAACGGTTGTTTGTATCACCTAAAACTAATCGAGTTAGATATAGGGTTATATAAACATATATAAATGATGAGAATGAAGATACCAGTTGAAATTCGGGTGACTGTTTGTCCGTCCGTCCGTCTGCGCAAGATGTAACTTGAGTAAATATTGAGATATCTTTATGGAACTTGGTACCGTAAGACGGTTGGTATTGCAGATGGGCGTAATCGGACTATTTTCAAGTCCATAAAACGCCATTAATCAAAAACAAATAAATTGCCATAACTAAGCTCCACAATAAGATACAAGACTGTTATTTGGTATACAGGATCATATTAGGGAGAAGCATCCGCAGTCTACAATTGTTTAAAAAGTGGGCGTGGTTCCGCCCTCTAATAGGTTTAATCTGCATATCTCTTAAACCGCTAAAGCTATAATAACAAAACTGAGAACAAATGTTTCTAGCCCCTCTATCCACAGTGTAAAAATTAGTGAAACTGGGTGACAATCTCGCCCACTCCCCATATAACGGTATTGTTAAAAACTACTAAAAGGACGAAATCTTCCAGCAAGATAATGATCCGAAACATACTTCTCGTGTAGCTAAAGCTTGGCTTAAAAACAACGGCTTTAAAGTACTCTATTGGCCACCTCAATCCTACGTGTGATCAAAGAGTTGGCATAATGTATGTTAGGATGAAAATTAAAATAATATTTTTGTTTCTTTATTTATCGTGTGAACTAAGGATCATTGCCACAATATTTCCTATTTGAACTGATATTTTCGCACTGTGTATAATGAACTTTGACAATTTGTTGGTATGGTAATTTTTTTTTTGGCAATTTTCACCAACGACTTACACTAAAAGGAGGTTGTACAGATTAATTTGCTAGATATATATTTACAAGTAGTAAGGATGTTATTTCTGAAGTAAGTAAATTTTATCAATACCGTGATAGGTTAGGTTAGGTTAAACTGGTGGAAGTTTATTAATATGAGCTGAATACGAGTTTACGTCGTGCAAGACGTACACGCTTTTTGCGAATTTTAATAAAGACTTTATATCTGATTCTGATATTTCATCTAGTCCCTTGAACTGCGAAGCTCGTAGATATTTAAGTCGAACTCTCAAGTCTACTTTCTAGCACTTTCTACATGTGTCTTCGTTAATAATGACCATACGGCTCGTTTGGAATGCGAGTAAGTTGTGACCTGTGATTAGGCCAACAACCGTCCTGCAGTCTTTTCGAGACCGTATGAGTAGAAATTTTACGTGTTCTGCTCCTTTGCACATGATCTTTGCGATCCTGCATGCCCAATCTCACCCTGATCCGTTTGTCAGCACTTTCGGAAATTTCGTTGTGTATCGTTTTTAACAGTTTGCGTATTTCTTAAACTGGTTCGGTAGTCAATATATATTGATATTCTTAAGGTAATTTCCTGAGCTGTTAGCTATCTCAGCAGGTTTGTTGACCGCAAACACTTTTGCTTAGAAGATACTGCAGTATTCCGGCAGCTTGAATGGTCGCCTGATATCTAGCTCCGTACAATAAATCCACTTCATCAGCCATTTTTGGTCCGTCCATGTAAAAGTTAAGAGTTCCGTTGGTGCATCACATGCCGCCATCCACCCTCTCTTAGTGTGACTTGAAACCTCTCTCCCATATAAAAGGTGAGGATATGTGGTCTATCTTATTCACTGGGGGTGCTTGGATAGTAGTTTCCTAAGTTTAGCTACCTCGGTTCTCTTTTCTATGTTAACTTACCGCAGAAGCTCTTCCACAACTCCCTTTTAGCTTTGCGAACCTCCTTTCTTTATTCCTTTAGTACAGCTTTATATTCCCTTTAGCAGGGCTCCTCATCGGCTATCTTGACCAGTTTGAAGAGTTCCTGAACACTGCACCTACGTCATCCGAACTCCCTGTTCCACCAAGGCGGCTTCGAACCACGCTTCGCATGTCATGGTGGACATGCGATGTAATACGCTTTATTGAGAATATTCGTAAGTCTACGGGCCCCATCCTCTAGTTAAGAAGTTGAGTCACATGCCTTGAGTCTAGTTAATTTCCCTATTACTATCGTTTTGTACAAATCCCAGTTAGTGTTCTTAAGATTTCTGAAAGTTTCACTTTTATTTAGGTCTCACCCCATGTCGTTTTTATCGCTGCTGCGCCATACCGTGTAGTGGGCATTGGCTCAGCGCCTATCACCAGCAGTATTTTCGATAAGGTCAGTCTTCTTCTACAGTGTGTTTAAGTTGTTATCGGCCAGTTTACGTTTTTCGATCAATGAGCGCCACGATTAAGTACCACTTGGCTATCTCACTGACCGATGTTGCCGCCCTGGAGGTTGAGGAGTTTTCCTGGTCTCTCTCCGTCAGCGAACAGATTATTTTTAGCCACAATTTCGTCCTCGATCCGGTTAGCAAACTTCGGATCCTTGAACGTGAACAGCGGTCGCGATACGTAGTAGGTTTGGCCTTCCTCCGCCTTTTCTTTAGCCGAAGCCAACTTTTCCTCTTCTTCCTTCGTCCGGTTGGACTTGCAACATATCCTTGCTGGGTTTTGCCCTGGGCTTAGTCTTTAATGCCGAACCAGCATCCTTGGAAACCTCCGGAGAGCGTAGCAAAGCTTCCTCTTCGATCATGTTAATGCTTTCGAGGTTCGAGTCTTCCTGGACTGTGGCACCTCCGTGTTGCAAAGCGGGTTTGACATTAGCTCTCCAACCGCTGTGAACTGCTCCCTTCACAGCAGACGTATGGCCGCTGGCGACACAGCAAGTAGTCTTACTGGTAGCAGCCACTTCTCCCACTGATTTAAGCTGACAGCATAGCCCGCTTTTTGTCCTTGTTCTCCCTCATGTTGAGTTTTATTTTTAGGGAACCTCTATCCCTAGCGTCTTATACCTACCGCCAGGTACCTCATTAGCAATGGCAGAGCTATTCATCCTTTTCCCCAATTTTTTTCGTAAAGCAATATTTTATTTGTCTTCCAGCTCTTTCATAACTGTCCTCTAAATGTAATTGATTTATCTGCATATTTGTGTAATGATCTATATCCAATTTACCTTTTAATACACAATATTTAATGCACTTTTTTATGCATGTACGTTCACATGTATATGTATGTTTATATGCACATAGATTGATATAACTGAACTAGTAAACTGATTAAATGTGCTAAACGTATTTGCCATTATTATTCTTAAGTTTTACTTAACAACATAATGAGCTAAATAAAGGAAGTGATTATATATAATAATTTCAATTATATATATAAATATTCATATGTGCGTCAATCAGTGTATAATGACCCTAATACACTGATTGACGCACATTTTTAGATTATACTGTACTTTCACAAAAAAAATTACTTTGCAATCAATTAATATTGAATGATTACTATACATGTATGTATACTAGGGCTCTTAAAATTATTCGAATAACCTGAAAACCGATTATTCGAATATCCGGTTTATAAAAGTTTGTGTGAATAATAACAGAAACGCAATGCTTCGACTATTCGAATAACACATGGGCTGAAAAGTCCCGGGTCCAACAAAGAAAACACGGGTTTTTGTTCAAAATTAGCTTAAATTATTAATATAATCTCCATCAAGAGCAACACAATCATTCCAGCGCCGCTCTCATATTTTAATACCACTTTTGTAGAACGATTTGTCTTTTGCCTCAAAATAGGCCTCAGTTTCAGTGATAACCTCTTCTTTCTTACTGGCGAATATTTTTTTGAGGTCTACGAACATCCAATAGTCGTTCGGAGCCCCATCTGGAGAATAAGGTGAATGTGGCTGTAATTCAAAGTGACCAGAATACCAAGGCCATAACCTTTCCAACTGATTGCTGTGCTTTCGGACGCTTTGGACGAGGTTCACCTGCTGCTGTCCACTCAGGTTTCATCCATTATCACATATCGACGCAAAACTTCCGGTTTGTTACATTTAAACATGACCAAACAGTGCTCAGAATCATCAACACGCTGCTGTTTTTGGTCAATAGTCAGCAGACGCGATATCTACTTTGAACAGAGCTTTCTCATGTACAAATAATCATGCAATATAAAGCCAATGCGTTCTTGCTTCGAGTATTTGAATAAATCAAAATTGTTTGCAATACCAGCAGCCTTTGATTTGTGTACAAAATTTTATTATTGAATGTTTCACTTTTTTTAATAAAAATAAGAAAATGAAAGAACGCTTACTATTCGAATAGTCGACAACAAACAGTTAACCGGATAGTCGATAAGAAACGGTTAATCAAATAGTCGACGACTTACGACTATCCGGATAGTGCAAACCGAATACTATTATTCAAATAGTGCCCTATCCGGTTAGTCGATTAGTCGAACATCAAGAGCTCTAATTCATACATACAAACTTTATATTTACATATGTATAAGCTTTTATAATAAAGTAATAAAGTACGAGTACAATTTTCCATTATTTCAGTTCAAACGTAGGCGAGGACCGCGAGAATCGATCGCACATCAAAGCTTAAGTAAAAAGTCCACAAATGTTATCCGCTAGAGAACAGTTTTTCGCACCTTCCACATTGCCAGCATCAGCATTGGGTCTGGGTATTGAAGTGGTTGACCAGCGTTCAACTACCGTTTATAGCCCAACAACAGTGCCATTGACCAGTGTACATGGTTGGCGGAATGGCGGAAGCGTGTTTGCCTCTGCGCCCTCTAGAAATGGCAACAAAGCACATAGCGATCAACAGCTGTCACAATTACAGTCATTGATGGCAAATAGCAGTAACGGCTGTACTAATGGCAGTAAGAATAAAAACTCTGATGAACCATTCTCGAATTTGCCTTCTCGTCTGCCAGTCGATATAGAATTTAAGGAGCTTTCACTTACAGTACAAATGGGGTTTGGAAAAGGTAAGAAAACCGGAATTTACCATATATACACATACTTGGTTCTTTAAATAAGAATAACTCAAACATTTAATTATTTAGCAGAATTGCTTTACATATTTCCAAATATCCGTTAATTGAATTGGAATTCGCAAAATTGTGTAGCGAATTTGATGGAAATGTTAGTGCCACGACCACCTTGAGAAACCTTTTTAAAGTTCATATTAATTTCAAAATGTGCTGAGGCTATACTAAATAAAAGCATTATCATAATCCTAAGTGAAGAAATTACTACGCTTACAATGAATTATACATATATTATTTATACTACACGTACCGGTCAGTATGGGAATTATATCAATAAAATTAGGCGAGTATCAACACGAAAAATATCAATACCAAATACCCTCACTAAAGTGTTGAGTATAGTAGTTTATGTTAGTCGGTATGATTTTAATATTATATGCTATTTGAAACATAAATCGCGATATAGACTCGCCACTAAATAGGTACGGGACCTGTAATATAAATTAAGAAGATACAAAATGTGGCAATCGGTTCACACTTTCGTCAAATAACGTCTAATTCTTTCTAAATGTGAGATATAATATTCCGCTGCATTCTTGACTTGTCTCTTGAAGTATTGCTTTTACTAATATAATATTCGATTTACGTTGTTTATCTAATCAGTTACTATTGTCATTTGTTTAATTATAGGTAAAATCATCAAGTGTACATTTGCCAAAAACTATAAAGATAAAAAATATAATTGAGTACTAGTATAGCATATCTATACTTATTGTCTTTAAGAAAGTTAGCATGTTAGCATATTCATATGTATATTCGTTAGGCCGGGTCAATATTTAAATTCGTATTTTAAATTATGCCAAATTTTGTAAAATGAACAGAGTTTTTGAATTCAAATCAAATAACTGTTAAATATACTTACTTTTACTTATTTCGTTAAATCGATCAGTTTAAATTGAGACAAGGCCGGAACAGGGGATGTACATATGCATGTATATGTGTTAACACTTGAGTCACAATGTCAACACAGCTTAGACAAAAAGGTTGAAATTATGAAAGCAATAATTATAATAGTACATAACAACACAAATAGTACATATTAATAATTGCGCACATACTGGTATAGATTTTTTACCAATATATGTGTGAGTATGTTTAATAACATAATTGAATTCTAAATCCATACATATAATATTATAATCTTCTGAACTTTGAGATAAATTAATCGTCTTACAACATGCTACATGTGAGTTTTTACTTAATTACTTACAATAAGCTTCGAATTCTATTACAGGGCAATTTAAGCCTTTTAACTGCATTATATAATATATTGATTGTAAATAATTTAATACCTTGACGTGTATGTATCGAACCACTATAGCATATAGCTGCCATACAAACTGAACAATCGGAATGAAGTGCTTGCATGGAAAACTTTTTCATTTGACGAGATATTTTCACGAAATTTGGTATAGATTACTGTCTAAGGTAATAATGTAATCCCGACAGAATTGTTCAGGTAGATATAGAGTTATATATATATATATATTAATGATAAGAACAACGAGACGAGCTGAAATACGGATGACTACCCGTGCATGCGAAAATTTTTGTAAAACTTTAGAAATTTTGATTAAGCTTGGTACACATGTTTTTTGGTACCATGAAAAGGTTGGTTTTGATTAATTGAAAATCTATAAAGAGCAAGCTTCACAATAAGATACGCATCACATTAGAAAGGGATTTCAGTGGTTAATATACATGTGGGATATCCCCGATATATTGATTCAATGATAGGAAATGGATATGATTTATTAAATGTAATATGGTTTAGACCTATAATATGAATGAAATCGGTCTAGACCGTGGTCGAAGTGTCTTTTCCCCATGGTATTGTAAAAACCAGTAAAAGTGCGATAAATCAATAACTAAACCCGTCAGAGAGGTCAAATTTGATGGGTGTGGCTCTGTCTTACTATAGGTTTAAGGGGTTAGGGGTAGTCAGAGGCACGAAAAAATTAGAATTTTCAGTAATTTTTTTTGCTATTAAGTCATGTTATTTTACAGAAGTAGTAATATGGCATTATTATACAATGGTTTTAATTGAGTTACAAAAATCAAAAAAAAAATTTTAATTTCTAAAGTTATAAATGACCCAGTTCCAAAAGAGGTCCTTGCGGTGACAACCATAAGTCTTTGGAAATTCATCTAAAATCAATCGGATAAAAAAAAATTTGTTTTATAAATAGATAATCCTGGGCCTTGTCGCAGCTTTTTTTTCAAAAATTAACAAAATGGCGGCCTCAGGAAATTTTTTTCTCGATTTTTGGGAAAAAATCAACAGTTTCAAGTTTATTATATATTCTAAAAGCTGTATAATTTTCATTAAAATCTATAAAGCGGTTTTCGAGTTACAGTTGTCAAAATTTCAAAAAACATAGTTTTGAGAAAAACGCATTTAAAGTTTTACACTAGAGCTCCCGAGGGCTTTGAAGTGCCCGAACGCTCTTTGTTATTTGTCGAATAACTCAAAAAGTAATTATCGGATCAACTTGAAATATTACACTTAACAAAAATGCCAAAAAAATTGATTATTTGAAAATTCTGACTACACCTAACCCCTTAATGTGTATTTCTCCTAAACCACTAAAGCTATAATAACCAAGTTACCTTTTTTTTCCCAACCCTACCACAGTTCACAGTACAGTGCAAAAATGGGTGAAATCTGATAATAACCCCGCCTACTCCTCATACAACGGTTTTGATTAAAACTACTAAAGCTACTAAATAACTCATTAAATATACAAATAAGAGAATTTGAATTTCACACATAGGATGGTACAATTAAACTTTATAGGAGCACCTACAAAAAATGGACAATCGTTGTAGAACCACCCACCTTTAGGTGAAAACCCTTATTTCGGGATCTACTTGACCGATTTTACTCGAACTCGGACTCCTGAAAAATGGGTGAAATCGGATTACAAACACGCCTACCTCCCATATAACACAAATTTTAAATCCATCTGATTTTTTAACTTTCCAGTATACAAATCAAGCACTAGTTAATATATTGAAATAAAACTTTGCGAAAAGAGTGCCTTCAAGATACGCCATCTCAAGCCTAAAAATTGTCAAAATCGGGCCATAACTGTTCAAGCCCTTAGGTACCGGATATGTGGACCCCAGTATCTATTGTTGACTTTTTACCGAAAATATCGATCAATGTGTAAGATATATATATAATTGAAATTCATAGAGGATTCTTTTCTGATAATAGGTAGGTAGGTAGGTAGAGTGGCTGTCCAATGACGCACCTAGGCCTATAGGAGGCCCATTGTGATACCACCGGGACTAATGTTCCCTCACTCTATCGTCTCCTCTCTGAACCAACCTGTGCTCCTGATGAAGTTCATCAGTACAAATAATTTTATATTAGCAACTTCTGATACGTCGTCAAGGAATCCACGACCGATAGTTGCGATTCTTTTCCTATATAGAGCTTTACATTCGCATAGAAGATGCTTTACAGTCTCCTCTTCCTCTACTTCTTGACAGCTTCTACAATAGCCGTTGTATGGTACACCTAGCCTACTTGCATGTCTACCAATTAGGCAGTGACCTGTTAGTACTCCTTTCAGAGTTCTTATATCATTCCTTTTAAATTTTAGTAGACGGTTTGTGCGACTCACGCTCCATTCCTGCCACGTTAGTCTGCTGGTTGTGCAGGTTATTGATTGTCTCCACCGAGACTCAGCTATATTTATAGCATGTTCGCTGATTAAGTGTTTGCAAGTTGCCAGAGGCATAAAGATACCCTCTTTTTCAGGGGTTAGTTGCAAAGTGGTGCCTGTTCTGGCTAGTTCATCTGCTTCGCAGTTACCAGGAATATCCTGGAACCCATTGCAGGTTTATTGTGAAGTAGGATGTCAGATCCTCTAATACATCAAGACAATCTTTCACTAGCTTGGATGGAACCATTGGAGACTTGAGTGATTTCAAGGCCGCTTGGCTATCCGTGTATATATATATGCTCCTTGTTGTGAGCACACTTTTTGTCAATACCACTAGGCTTTCTTTAATTGCTGTGATCTCCGCCTGGAAGACACTGCAGTGGTCTGGCAAACGGAAGGCGATGTTGGTGTTTAATGTTGCGCAAAAGACACCACCTCCCACTCGATGATCCAGTTTGGATCCATCTGTGTAGATGCTAATTCCTGTATTCCTGTCCACCTCGCCCCTTTTCCACTCCTCTCTTGTGGGGAAGGCAATATTGTGGACCGAATTTAGCATCCGTTCTATTGGATTGTGGAAATCCGTGGTTTTGGGTAGGAACGGGAATATACTGAGTATCCTTGAATGCCCCTTGTTGCATGCGACTAGTTGGGAGGATTCCCTCAGTCTAAGAGCTGACTTTGCTGCCACTTGTTTACAGAACAGGTCTGTTGGCAGTAAATGTAGAATGACGTTAAGAGCCTGGCTTGGCGTTGTTCTAAGAGCTCCACTAATGCATATACTGGCTGCTCTCTGTATGCTTTCCATACGCTTTACCGCGTATTTGTATTCTTTGACTTCCAGAGCTTAGTGCTGTTTCTGTGGATTTTCCTTTAGAATACGCATGCTGCGAACCAGCCAACTTTTCTGGTTTCAGTTTGTTTCTTATATGTAATTCTATTAGTCTTTCCAGGATTTTTAAAAGGAAAGAGGAGAGGCTAATTGGCCTGAAGTCCTTTGGACTTGTATGCGAGCTTTTGCCTGCCTTTGGTATGTATATTACCTTGACTTCCCTCCAAAGCGAAGGGATATAGTTTAATTGCAGCGCCCCCTTAAGAATGGCAATTAGCCAATTCATTATGTAATTCTGCGACTGCTGCAATTGAGCCGGGAATATACCCTCTGATCCCGGCGACTTGAAGGGCTTAAAGCTGTTTATTGCCCAGCGTACGTTGCTTTCTGACACTATATTTATGAGAGTGGGGCTCATTTCTGCTCCACTATCTTGAGTATATTCTGCAGTATGGCTTTCAGAGCTGCCTGGGAAGTGGGTATCCATTAGTAGCCCCAAGGACTCTTCACTGGATACCGTCCAACTTCGGTCTGGCTTCTGAAGATAACCGATACTATGCACCGATTGTGCCATTATTTTCCTAAGTCGAGACGCTTCCGCCGTGTTCTCGATGTCATTGCAAAACGATTTCCATGAATTTCTTTTTGCTCTCCTAATTTCCTTTTTGTATGACCTAAGGAGGTTGTAATAATAATCCCAGTCTGACTCGCCTTGGGATTGCTTAGCTAAATTGAACTGCTTTCTGCATTCTTTCTGTAGCTTTTTAAGTTCTAAAGACCACCAGGGAGGCCTTATTCTATCCCTGCTTCGTGTTATTGGAGAAACCACTTCTAGTGCTTGCCGGCACGATTCCGTGAGTCGATTAACGGGGATATCTAGATCCTCCTTGCTATTGGGCTGAAACGGTAGAATCATAGGGATACGTTTCTCTAGCTCTTGCATGTGCAATTGCCAGTTCGTTCTCCTATGATTCCTAAAGTTAATGCCTCTATCGGCCCTTTCCTCTATTGTACATTCGATATATCGGTGATCCGAAAAGGAATGTTCTTCGATTGGGTTACCCTGTCAATTAGTTCTTCCGACACAAGTGTGATATCCAGCACTTCTTGTCGGTTTCTTGTAATAAATGTTGGCGTGCTTCCCTTATTACACACCAGTAACTTAGTACCTAGTAGGTAATTAAAGAGACACTCACCTCTGTCGTTTACATCTGTGCTGCCCCAGATTGTGTGATGCGCATTTGAGTCGCATCCAAGTATTGTCATGCACTTGGATGTCTCGCTATCCCGTACCACCTCTTTTACTATCAGAGGTGGCACCAGCTCCTGCTCATACGGCATATAGCACGACACTAGCCGGTAACTGCTTGAGCCCGTTTCCCAGCTTACTGCTGCTGTGTCGTTGTTGCTGTAATTATTTAATATAAAAACATTAAGGTTTTTCTTTGCCATTATGCAGGCTCTGATTTTACCTTCACAGTTAGTCATCAGCAACTTATAGTTCGGCGTCCTCAGTCCGCAAATACGCCCTCCATTAACCCATGGCTCCTGAATGAGGACAAATTCAGGCTGTTCCATTGCCACGCGGTTAATTAGGGCTGCTGAAGCTAGTTTGCTATGATGGAGATTAATTTGTAGAAGACGCATTAACTATTGTTATATCTGCGTCTTCCTGAGAGTTGTTAAAAGCTCTTTCTCAGTATACAAGCTTGAGAGTCTGGCCGCAAGCTCAGACCCGGAAGAAGAACACTCACCTTGCTCCATACTTTCCGCGTCGCTCGAGGACTCCATAGGATCTTCCTCTACTTCGCATATCTCTTTCCCCGATGCCAGATGGTCTGCAGCATCGGCGTACGACTTGTAAGGCGTTATCCTTACTTTCGTGGACCCGTAATTTATCTCCCCGCCAGTTTTCGCCAGCGGTTCGATGGATTCTTTCGTTAATAACAGCAGAATCTGCGTCGTGGCCCTTTTGGTCTCCACGCCAGATTCTGCTACGCTGTCCTCAAATGTCTTGACATACTTCCACCCTTCCGTGGGTAGGCTCGGGTTGCGGGCTCTTATGAGCTGCATAACTTGGTCCGGCTGTGATGGTGTAGCCGGAATCCATACCCTTGCCCTTGGTCTGGATGGTATGTCCTTCTTGTCCACTGCTACCAATTTTGCCCCGGGGTATACCTTTCCCACCGTGGCTATAGCAGCTTTTTATAGAGCGACCGATCTCTCGTCATCGCAAGCAATCATTTTGATCTGGCCCTGGTACCAGCTCCTGCGTTAGCTCCTCTTTCGTTGGCGGCTTTAGCTCTACCAACCTTAGTAAGTATGCGGCGCGTCGTCTCTCCGCATATTTTGCCTTTGACGGGTCCTGCATGCTAAATGCAGGCCACTCCCTGGCAGATGCACTTCCGGCAGCAGCCCCTTTGGCATCTCCCCCCTCCCCCTGCTTCCCAGCCGTGTTTTGGCCGCAGGGTTTGGGCTGGCTGCCTCCGGCGCTACCACTTTCAGTGGGCCAGCTTTAGCTTCTGCCCCTTTACTAGTGCTTGCCTTGTCTTCTGGACCAAGCTTCGCTCCTGTCCTCTTCGTGTTTGTTGAGCTCGCTCCAAACGCTGCTCTTTTATGGGAGCAACTCGCTCCCTCCGGCTTTTTTCCTGGAGATCCGGGCTCTCTCCGATTTTTTGTTTTCGTTATTTGTTGTTTTTGTTTATTTACGTTTTGGTTCATTGATGGTCCCACGAGTATGGGGGAAAGTATGTCCACTTGCGCATAGCCCCCTTTGCGCAAGTAAGGCTATCTTATTACGGAGGGCGCCAGGTATCCGTAAGCTCCGTTCGAGACTGGGCTATTTAAGGGCCCCCAGCCAGGTTGATCCTCGGCACGGGTCGCATGACACCTTGATCCAGCCCTTTACCCCCGACCATGGTAAGGCTCCTTATCTGTATGCTGTGCTATTGAGGAACATCGAACACACAGATAAGAAGTCTGACCTTAGCTAGATTCCTCACGTCTACGGCAGGGGCGGACTGTTACCAGCTCGTCCCCGCTAGTGTCGGGAATCTGTGGTATCTATTACCAGTCGGCACCCTCGGGGAGGGTTCAGTGGGGGATTTTTGCCAACCGATAATAGTATGTCTGTATGTCAATACTTGCCTTGAAGATGAAGATTTTTAAACTTTCGGGTCACTTTAAATTGCATATATCAGCCAATATGTTATCTCAATGAAAATAAGACAGCGTATTTTACTCATAGCGATGTATCCCTGTGCTTAAAATTTATAAAATCGTGTGAAAACTTGACATAGCCCCATATAACCAATCACAGGATTTTCAAACATCCGGTTAACTTTACACCTTATATACTGGGGATGGTATGTGACGTCCCTAAAAGACATTCAAAAAGCATCTATTTCAGTTAACAATATGTGGGATTTCCAAAAATAAATAAAATCGTGTCAATACTACCCCTATCTCCCGTGGCTTTATACCGTATATATTGGCCCATAAGTAAGATATCTTAACAATATTAACTTAACGCATAATATTGGATGTTATCGGCTAGTTTAATGCCGAAAATATGTGAAATTGGCCCACAAACTACCCAAACTCACATATATTACATATAATGATGTTCGCTATATTAACAAACTTTATGCAAACCTAAAAGTATTTTTTTTCTTTGATAGTTGCAAGAGTATAAAATATTCGGTTACATCCGAATCTAGCCGTTCCTTACATGTTTACTATAAAGTTTTGCTAACACCTGAAGTTATTTCCCCGCCTTTGATCCTTGCTAATTTTAAGAATAAGAAATGTTCGGTTACATCCGAACTTAGCCTTCCTTACTTGTTTTATTTTGATGCCATTAACAATATTAAATCGTGACTTGCTGAATTCCTCCTTTGACTTCATTTTAGCGGCTCTTTATATTATATAATATTTGTCACATATTTAGGGGTTGAAATCCAAAAATACAGCAAAGAAGTTAAAAAAAGCAGAGCAAAAACAGTATGCACTGAGCACCTTAAGCTTGGCTCAAAGTAAACAAAATCCAATCACATCACATTAATTTAGAAAACTTATTTAAAACTTCTCTTTAGTTTTAGGTCATTTCTAATACAGTTCGAAAAGAACTTGATTTCGACATAATTTTTTTGAATAGCATATCAAGGCAACAAAGAGTACCATATATTTTAAGTTTATCGGAGTTTATGTACAAAAATAAATGATCGTTTTTTGTTGATCGTATTACTAAATTAATTTTAAATATTGAAAACCACAATAAAAATTTTAAACCTATTTTTAGGAGAAAAGGAGATTTTACATAATGTCGGCGGAAAATTTCCTGGCAGCCAGCTAATTGCGATAATGGGCCCTTCTGGCGCGGGAAAATCCACGCTACTGGATGCGTTATCTGGCTTCAAAACAACAGGTGTAGATGGTTCTATACTCCTGAACGGACGTCGACGAGACTTGCGTAAGTTAAAATCAAAATTCTCATAGATATTCTGTCCTGATTGGTATAAAGGACATAACATGCATAATGATAATAAAAAACTTTTTGGAACTGTAGATCTCAAGGCTGATACTATTTGTCTAAGAATTCTATTGTCTACTTTATTTTCCGTTGCAATTGACGAATATACATAATTTTTAGCTTTATTCCGACGAATGTCCTGTTACATAACACAAGATGATCGTCTTCAGCCGTTATTAACAGTAAACGAGAATATGCACATAGCAGCGGATTTGAAATTGGGCTCAAATTTGAGTTATGAGGAGAAGGAAGGACGGGTTAGTATAAGTATATAAAAAACATTCTCAGTTTAATTTAAGTTCGTGCCTTCTTCACACGCAGATCGAAGATATTCTGTTGCTGCTGGGCTTGTACGAACATGACCAAACAATGACTATGCGTCTATCCGGTGGACAAAAGAAGAGGCTCTCTATTGCAATGGAATTGATAAATAATCCAACAGTAATGTTCCTTGATGAACCCACAACGTAAGAGCATAAAACAAAAAAACATCCATTCATTTATAATACTTTATCGTTTAACATACACAGTGGTCTGGACAGCAGTTCCTGCACCAAAGTATTGGAATTATGCAAGAAATTGGCACAACAGGGTAGAACCATTATCTGTACAATTCATCAACCCACAGCCAAATTATTCCAAATCTTCGATCAAGTATACGTACTCTCGGCCGGTAATTGTGTCTACCAAGGTAGTACAGAAAAATTAGTGCCATTCTTACAGACCGTCGATTTGCCATGCCCTGTTTACCACAATCCTGCTGATTACAGTAAGTTTTAAAGCAGTACAAACAGACAAACTAACTAAATAATTGCAATATTAATTTCATAAACTTTTTCTACCATTCATTAAGTAAGAATTATATGCAACACATATTTGTTGACCACTTGGTTTTTTTTTTACCAAAAACGCTTGAAGCATCTTCCGTCTATACGCATTAATATCAGGCCGTGTATCATATCCTAAACGGCTATGTATGTAAGAATCCGCCTTGTTTTATACCATCCGGACGGACTTATAAATACACTGCGCGTCATCAAGTTAGCATAACTTCGTTAGCCTAATATAACTGCTTTTGATTTTTTTGTTACAAATGTCGAGTTACTTTATTGTTTTCTGATTTGTCTCATCTTTGTTTGAACAATCACTGGTAAAGAGAACATCTAATAAGAATAACCCGTTATATGACTTTCGGCATTTTCTGTTCTTTTTCGTCGAAAAGTGTGCTTTATTTTTGCGTCATCAGGTTAGCATATGCAATTTGTCTTGCATTTATCATCGGAGTTTGAATTTGTATTGAAGCCAAATTTTTATACCCTGAACAGGGTATATTAAGTTTGCTACGAAGTTTGTAACACCCAGAAGAAAACGTTGGATACCCTATAAAATATATACATAAATGATCAGCATGATGAACTGAGTTGATTTTGCCATGCCCGTTATTTTCTAAGTTAACAATGGAATATCCGAAGAAATTGTATAGATCGGATGACTATAGCATATAGCTGCCATATTAACTGAACGATGGGAGTAAAGTGCTTGCATGGAAAACTTTTTTATTTGACGAAGTATCTTCACGAAATTGGATCGGAATCAAGTTATTGTAAGAAACGTTTGTATCTGTGAAGGGTATTAAATCTTCGGTCCAAAGTAAACATTTTTTCTTGTTTGTATTGTCTTTAATATGAGTAAAGGAGAATCGCTCTAAAAAGAAAGCAATAATTGAAGTTTATCAAAAGTTAGTGCTTTTAATAATCAAAGTACCAAAAAAAAAACCTTCAGAAATCTAAAAATTATATACAATTTCTTGCGTAATAAGTCGAAGTACGTTCGAAATAATAAAGACAGTTACAATCAAGTCATTGTCGATGTTGACGAGAAAGCAATTTAGAGAAAAGCATCCAACGTTTATGCAATTACCGCTAAGATCAGGGCAAACGCTGGTGCTAAAATGAGCTTATCTTAGAACGACTACACAGTCGTGTGAGCAGTGAAACGGTGTGTGGAGACATCTTATAATATCGTATGTGCGAACTGCAAAAAGTCTATTAAATGCAGTGGTCGCCTCTCCAGACATCAATGTAATAGAAATGGTGTGGGGATAGTTGATTCGCAAAGTTTTCGAGTCTGGCCGAAAATATTCCACTAAATAGATATGAGTTGAAGGTATTTAAAGTGCTTGGAAAAAAAGTTAAAACACTAATTGTTTAATATAACATGTAGTAAAAAATTTATTCGTTAATAATCGCTAATCATTTTAGGATTATAGCTTCTTTAGTTTTGATAAAAATTGACCAAACTATTCAATTCTAAGGTGTGCTAATAGAACAATATATAATATATTGGTTCGTAATTGCATAAGTCAAAGGAGGGGAAAACTTTGTTTAAGATAGTTCAGTTATCAAGGTCAGGTCATTAATTCATACTAAAAAATTAAAAAAATGTCAGTTTTTTCAGTAAATAATATTAAATATTTTTAGTTATAGAATTGGCTTGTGGAGAATATGGGAATGACAAAGTTGATATCTTGAAATCAGCAGCCGAGAATGGCAGTAGTCTAGCGTGGTTTGACGATCCAAGTTCTATATTACGCGCAGAATCATTAATTCGCAAATATCCGATTCCGAGGAAATCGAAAAAACGTTCTTTGGAGGATACAAGCTATATCAATCAATTATCGGTATTATTGCGCCGGGGATATGTAAAGGCAAAGCGTGATACAACCTTGACTCATTTACGCATAGCTGTAAATGTGTTTGTTGCCATTATTCTGGGTTCATTATACGCCGGCTCTGGTCGTGAGGGTTCGAGAGTTTTAGACAATTATAACTTACTGTTTGCCATATTAATCCATCATTCGATGACAACGATGATGTTAACTGTATTAACATGTAAGTTGTTTTTAAATCTCATCAGAATTATGAATATATTTTTTTTATACTCTCGCAACCTGTTGCTACAGAGTATAATAGTTTTGTTCACCTAACGGTTGTTTGTATCACCTAAAACTAATCGAGTTAGATATAAGGTTATATATACCTATATAAATGATCAGGATGAGGAGACGAGTTGAAATCCGGGTGACTGTCTGTCCGTCCGTCCGTCTGTCCGTCCGTGCAAGCTCTAACTTGAGTAAAAATTGAAATATCTTTATGAAACTTAGTAGACATGTTTTTTGGTACCGTGAGACGGTTGGTATTGCAGATGGGCGTAATCGGACCACTGCCACGCCCACAAAACGCCATTAATCAAAAACAAATAAATTGCCATAACTAAGCTCCGCAATAAGATAAAAGACTGTTATTTGGTACACAGGATCACATTAGGGAGGGGCATCTGCAGTTAAAATTTTTTTTAAAAGGTGGGCGTGGTCCCGCCTCTAATAGGTTTAATGTGCATATCTCCTCAACCGCTAATGCTATAATAACAAATTTCACTGGAAGCAAATGTTTTTAGCACTTCTATTGACGGTGTGAAAATAGTTGAAATCGGGTGGCAACTCCGCCCACTCCCCATATAACGGTACTGTTAAAAACTACTAATAGCGCGATAAATCAAGCACTAAACACGCCAGAGACATTAAATTTTATCTCTGGGATGACATCTCTGGATAGACAGTGGGCGTGGTACAGCCCACTTTTAGGTGAAAACCCATATCTTGAGATCTGCTTAACCAATTTCAACAAAATTCGGTACATAACTTTATTTTCATATTTCTATGTTATAGCTATTAAAATGGGCGAAATCGGACTACAACCACGCCTATTTCCCATGTAACACCATTTTCAATTCCATCTGATTTTTTCACTTTCCACTATGCATATCAAGCAACAATGATTATATCGGGGTAAAACTTTGCGTGAATAATACGTTTAAAGTATGCCACCTTGTGACCAAAAATTGTCTAAATCGAACCAAAACTGTTCAAGCCCCTAAGTACTAAATATGTGGACCCCAGTGCCTATAGTTGACCTTCTACCGAAAATATCAGCCAATCCACAAAGAAATCTCAAACGAGTATACCATTTGACTTTGCGAGAGTATAAAATGTTCGGTTACATCCGAACTTAGCCCTTCCTTACTTGTTTATGTATAATTTCAGTCCCAATAGAGATGTCAATATTGTTGAAAGAACACTTCAATCGCTGGTATTCCCTAAAAGCTTACTACACATCAATCACATTAATCGACCTGCCCATTTCTGTAAGAACTCTTTATTTGAGAAGAATATATTAAATATTAATTATCTTATTATTTCCATAGGTTATTGGCTGTTTACTTTTTACTGTTATTATATATCTGTGGAGTTATCAACCAATGGAGTGGGAGCGATTTTGGATGTTCTTTGCTATAAGTTTGCTGACTGTATTCGTTGGTCAAAGTTTTGGGCTTATGATTGGCGCCGGGTTTAGTGTTGTGGTAAGTTCTATAACAAAACAAAAAACTACGTGAAAATATTATATAATAAATTTTTTTTTGTGTTGGACTTCGTAAAAATTTGAGGTTATTTGTTTTTAACACCATTCGGTTTGTTTTCTTTTTCTTTCATTGGATGCATTATGAATGATTTTGAACTAGGACCCTGATTTAGATGACTGAATTGATTTATGATTAATTTACAAATTAAGAATAGTGATATATATTCGGGCACAGGCAACGAAGTTATAAATCACTGCTGAATACGGTTGCAACTCTTGTTGTACTTATATAGAATCGATCAAGGTGCGAGAGGAATTCGAGTAATTAAAAACAGCTTACTAAACTCAGGAAAAATGTATGCTCAATGGCATGAAATAATGTAGAAATTAAGGTATATTTTATACCTGATAAAGTAATTTTGATTTGTATTGATCTTAGGATCTGCATTTGTAGGGTGAAACCTATTTTGAAAACCTTGAGCTGGAAAGTAGATATAAGTGGTATTTTCTAATAGAAAATGTTTCCCATAGTATCTACATTATTATGTTTTTATTTTTTTAATTTTTCACCATAGAATGGAACTTTCTTAGCACCTGTACTGACTATTCCGATGATGATGTTTGCCGGTTTCGGGGTAACACTTCGAGATTTACCTAGCTACTTGAAATGGGGCAGCCATATATCTTACCTTAGATATGGTTTGGAAGGCTTTGTTGGTGCCATTTATGGTCAGGGACGTGGTGTGTTAGACTGTATTGAAGCGCCTTATTGCCATTATAGGTGAGTAATATAAAACCAGAAAATTCAAAATTTATTTGACACAAAATATCTCAAATTTCCTATCTTTCAGATATCCGAAGAAATTCCTGGAAGAAATCACAATGGGTGGTGATCAATTTTGGAATGATTTCATGGCTCTGTGTGTTATTACTATAGCTTTCAGAATAGTGGCCTTTGTTGTCCTCAAAGCAAAAATAAATTCAGTAAAATAATGTGTAATGTTTGCCATATTTAATACGATTATAGTTATGAAATTACGAAATAAAATATGAAGTTAGAGATAGTGTATTCACGAGAAGCAAATTTTAGAAAAAAATTTATGAAAGCGATTTCAAGTATTTGAAAATATATAAGTACTTGTAAAAGACATGTAATAAAATAATTACATAATGTGATTCAAATCAAATAAGATTAAGTAAAAATATTTTTGAATATTGTTTAAAATAAATATAATAAACGTTTTTTCGTTTTGTTTATTATGAAAGCAAAAGTAAACTAATTACATATGTGTAAATTAATTACATAAGGGAACGTATGGACCAATTTCACTTTTTTTTTGGTGTCATGCCATATTATGTTCAAGAAAACAAGGATAGCACCGTATAAATAGTAAAAACGATTTTTCTTTACAATCATTTAGTAATTTTGAACAAAACCAAATTGAGGACGTGGTCACAACCAAAATAAATTTTTGCCCCTATTTTGCATATCTTACATATGGATTTGAAAAATAGCTTCTTTAATTTTTGTCTCGTTCAGCATATTTTTTATATAAATAAAACTTAGGGAACTTTTGTCCATGGCTCTATCAAAGAGTTTACTTAGTATCCATATATTAAATGCCTTGTGCAAATGGATGAAATCATACATACATGTACATCAATACATAATATAAAACAAAGTCGCTTTCTCTGTCCCTATATCCCTATGTACTTGTATGCTTAAATCTTTAAAACAATGCAACGGATTTTGATGCGGTGTTTTTTAATAGATAGAGTGATGGAAGAGGAAGGTTTGTATGTATATTAACATCCATTAAATAGTGGGAAAATACTGTTATTTTAAAGGCTTCTAATGTGATGTCGTAAATACAATAATAACATTTTTTTCGCTTACATTGCAAACGCAGGCTGAGACCTACGAGATTATGTACTAAGTATTGTAGACATTGAAAAGGTCTACAGAAAACTCCCCGATGGTATATATCTATCTCTTCAGGATATCCCACAATAACATTTTTTTGTCATTTATTGTTTACAACAAACAATTCCTAAATTTTCGAAGCGATTTTAACCGATACAGCATTAATCCTTATCCAATTAAATACCTTAAATACATTGTTGATTTAATATAGATCTAAATGACCCTCTACAAATTTTTATTTTGTTGAATATTTTCGAAGATATTACAGATTTAAAAATTGCGGGACGTAGCGTTTGCGGCGGTACCGGCCGGCCGGGGCGGTGGGAGCGTGCCTATAAATAGCGCGTCGGAGGCTGCGGTTCTCCCAATAGTAACTACTTTGAATTTAGTAGCGATCGGACACGTTTATTATCGAACCTCTCTAGCGAGGAAAATAACAGTACTTAATGAAAACGTGCTTTTCAGGGCGACAACGTATCAGTAATTATAAGTAAGTTACGATAAATAATTGTATGATAGTAGTTTTAAAATATAAATTATTTTCTATTCTAAGGTTAATTTTAAATCGCACTTATAGTAATTATAAGTACATAGGGTTAGATAAGATTAGATTAAATAAAACTATAATTAATGGATTGGAGTTTTCTATTAAGATCTTGGTTAAAATTTAAAGTTAGTTAATAATTTCCCTTTCAATTTCATTTTCAAAAATCGTAATTTAAGGTGAGGTTTGTAAGTCCAGAAAAAGAACTTAATATAATAGGTATCTGTTGTTGTTGATGATTGTTGATTATCTTTTGTTTTTAGTCGCACGAGTAGCAAATTATTTTTTAATTAAATTAAAATCGTGGTTTACCTTGAGCTGTTTCAGTAAAAAAAAGAACTTATCTTTTTTTCCAAATAGTAAGTATTTAAATACTTTTTACTGCGGCACATACTAATAATATGGCAATTTGTGCATCAGCATGAGTTACTAATTCATGGGTAAATAAAGAAAATTCTGCCATGAATTACGATCCTTCAATTTCTTATAAGGACGATCGTATAGTATCAATAGGTACTATGTCAGTAGTGTGTACATTGCTTGGCATTGAAATTTAAGGACGAATCGAAAGACATGTATTGCTTACAAGGAAAAATCAAATTAGAAGAAATTCTCCCTACACCTAAACCACTTCACTCTCTTCTTACGGGTGATCATCAGAAATCCAAACAATTCATGCGCAACATACGCCGTTATAATTACGCATTTCAAATAACCTCTTTTAAGAGTCAGCAAGTCGTTGAGCGTGGTTTCATGCAAACATATAAAATTCAAGCGCAAGTGTACCACTTAGCTGGGAGCTTGCTACCACTTCGAAACGATGATCACAAATTTCAGCAAATATATTTTATTGCAGATCCAAAAACACTGCGATTGAGAGAGTTCCAGCAGATACTCCTGACTTTGGTAGCAGTGGTGATAGCTGGACAGCAATTTGACAGAAGTGATATTGTATTGCATAGTCGTGATGATAATTTGCAAAAAATTTCAGAGTTACACAGATCTTATAACAGCTTACAATATCCTTTGATGCTATGTCGTGGAGAAAATGGTTATTCCATTAATATTTCTCATGTTGACCAAATCGATGGTACACCTCTGCGTATAACAGTGTCATGTATTAACTACTATTGCTACCGTATAATGCCAAGACGTAACAATTTCAACACTTTGCTTAGATAAGGAATGTTAACAAACCAATACTTGGTAGATTAATATGCAAAAATTTAATCTGAGAGATTGGCCGACATCCGTAATAATCGAACTAAATTGAGAGCAGAAAATTACATTCATCTTTAGGATGCTTTACAAGCGAATGAACACCGCAACGGCAGTGGGCAGTTGATTATACTACCTTCATCATTCACAGGTGGACCTTAATAGTTACAAGAAAAATCGCAAGTCGCCATGACTTACGGGCCGATGTCAGCTAATACTACTAACTCAGATTTAACCAACAGTGCCGAATACACAAGAGAAACATCATACGATCAAACGAGACTTTTACAAAATATAGCTCAAAATCAGATCAGAAAGAAGTATTCAATGCAATGAAGGGAAATTGCTTTTCCTTGATGTCCTAAGATGCTCATTAATAGTCTGAGACGAAGCTACCATGTCAAACGAGACGTCTGTGGAAGCACTGGATAGGACAAGGCGCGATTTGAGCAACAAAAAATTCACCTATGGGTCGATGTACAATTCTGTTCTCAGGAGATTTCAGTCAAATCCTACCAGTTGTGACTCGAGAAACACATGCTGACGAAATAAATGCTTCTCTAAAAAGACCCAACCTGTGGCTACATGTTAATAAATTAGAGCTTAGAACTAATATGAGGGTTTCGTCATCTTCTTGTGAGAACAGGCTATTTCCAGGGATATTGCTAAAAGTTGGCAATGACGAGTTAACACAAAGTGAGGGAAGGATTAACATAGAAAATCTTTGTGTTTTGATAGACAAGAGTTAACTTGATTCTTTCAAAGATTGATCCGTCGACGAATATATACTACTCGGTCGATACTGTTCTCGATTTGGAAGAAGATGTTTATTTTCCTACAGAATTTCTAAACTCTTCGAACCTGTCCTGACTCCCTTCCCACAAAATGGTGTTGAAAATAGGTTGTCCTGTTATTTTATTAAGAAACCTGAATCCACCTAAACTTTGTAATGGCACGCGTTTGCTGGTAAAATCACTGAAAAATTTCATAATAGAGTACACAGTACTCACAGGATGTGTTACCGGAAAAGATGTATTGATTCCCCGAATCCCTCAGATACCATCGAATTCACCCTTCTAATTTAAACGTTTACAGTTTCTGGTAAAGACATCTTTTGCAATGACCATTAATAAATCGGAGGATCAAACTCTCATCGTTGAAGGCTTAGATTTTAGCGTTGACTGTTTTTCACATGGCCAACTGTATGTCGCTCTTTCAAGAGTAACCTGTAGAGAAAACATGTTTGTATTGTCTAATGACAAGAAAGCTGTGAACGTTGTATATAACGACATTCTGTAATATATCAATTGTTGTAAAAATAAATTAAATAGATAAAAATGTAAAAATTATATATGTAAGTAAAAATGTAGTGTATGAATTTAGATATTCCAAAGATAGCAGGAAATCTTCATGGTATAGGGAAAGGGGAATTGTTTTACTCCAAATTTAACTCGTGCGGCCACGGGCAGTAATGAATAAATCAAAACTACATATATCACAAAATTTTCTCAGGCGAACACTCACCGTCGGACGACTTTTGTTCGCCTAAGAGAGGTGTCCACTTAAGGGAGTGGGTAGCTATTTTATAACAAAATTTTTTTAAATTAATTTAATTTATTACTCTCCAATTTATTATTTTAAAAAATTTGTCATATTATATTGCTGAAACAATAATTTTTGTATTACTTCCAAAGTCCATTTAAATACTGTATGGTATATACATGTATACATATGTACATACATACATTTAGATTTAACAATAACAAAAACAAATAAGGAAGGGCTAAGTTCGGATGTAACCGAACATTTTATACTCTCGCAAAGTCAAAATGTATACTCATTTGAGATTTCTTTATATATTTTGCTTGATTTGCATAGTGGAAAGTGAAAGAATCAGATGGAATTTAAAATTGTGTTGTATGAGAAATAGGCGTGGTTGTAGTCCGATTTCACTCGTTTTCGCACTATAGCATATAAATGTAAGACGAATGTTATAGGTATACCGAATTTGGTTAAAATATATACCAAATAACAGTCTTGTATCTTATTGTGGAGCTTAGTTATGGCAATTTATTTGTTTTTGATTAATGGCGTGGCAGTGATTGCGCCTATCTGCAATACCAACCGTCTTAAGGTGCCAGGGAACATGTGTACCAAGTTAAATAAAGATATCTTAATTTTTACTCAAGTTATAGCTTGCACAGATGAACGGACGGACAGACAGTCACTCGGATTGCAACTCGTCTCTTCATCCTGATCATTTTTATATTGTACTTGTACACATAACTGTATGTCTAACTCGATAAGTTTTAGGTAATACAAACAACCGTTAGGTGAACAAAACTATATATATTCTGTAGCAACATGTTGCGAGAGTATAAAAATATTGAATTTATGATTTAT